GGATCACATTGGCCTTATAGGCCCATATGTCACAGGTTGAGTTTCTATATAAGGTTGGGTCGTTCTATGTCAGGTATTCCCTCATGTTTACTCTGTTTATCTCATGACGTCCCTTCTGGCCCACTTACCTATGATGATGTAATAAGAAAGATACGATTATGTTGGTACTCGGTTGAGTAAGGTACCGGGTGCCCGTCGTGGCCTATCAGTTTGGGTCGTGACAAAAATGGTATCAGAGCAGTTCTGTCCTAGGGAGTCTACAAGCCGTGTCTAGTAGAGTCTTTTTTATGGGTGTGTTGTGCACCACACTTATAAGCGGGAGGCTACAGGGCATTTAGGACTGTCACTCTTTCTTCTTACTCTAGATCGTGTGGTAGAGCTCAGTTGTAAGAACTCAATTTTCTAAACTCTATCTTATTCATAATACAACGATGCCTACATCCAGAAAGACAGTTGGTAAGAGATTGAATGCGGCTATGGAAGAGTTGAGTCAGAGAAACTCGATTTTTTCATGATGCTTATGATGAGTAAATGTAAGGTCTTCAGTAGATCATGTGTGTACTAAGACGTGTAAGCTTCTTGATAAGGAGCCTTAAGGTAAGAATATCTATCCACCCCTATGGTGAAAGGCAATGAGAGATTCAGAAGATAGATACAAGTTTCAACAAGTAAAAGAAGTAAGATGAAGAAGGGTATGAGGCGCCCAGTTAATGAAGATTGTCAGTATTTACCATTAAGGCAGAGGAATATAAGCCTTTTGAGTTATCTTCAACAATAACAGAGGTATGTCCAACTGGCCACACCCATCTCATTTATGCCATATGGGGGCTAACAGAAGTAATATAAGAGAAGGACGGATATCATGATTCGGCTGGGGTTAAAGTAACCCAAAATATTAGATGGATTGTTTGCGTTAGTTGACATTTCCGAAGGATATTGCAAATGTGCTAGTAGATCTCCTTGTGAGACACCCAGATGGTGCACTCTAGAATAGTACAGCTAGATATGAGTACTACAAAAATAGGCACTGGAAGCCTTGAAGGGATAAATATTACCTTAGCGTGGCTCCCGTCCCTAGTAGAAAAAGAATGTTAGGAAACCCGATGGGCCGGTAGATGCAGCAAGGAGAGCTAAAAGCAAAAGAATGTCTTGTTCGAGTTTTTAGAATAAAATGATAGACATAGATGTTAGCGAGAAATAAGAAGAGGGTTAATGAAGCATTATGAGTAAGATGTAATATATGGATGACAACGGTAGATCAAGAAGATGACAGTATTACAGAGTCTATAGTCAAGTGAAGGAAAAGACGAGAGGTGACAGGCCTTGAGATAACAAAAGAGTATAGGCCATAAAGTCATATCCTCATTTCGAGAAATAAGTTTGTGACTCCAACGCAACTACCGGAAGGAAAAGTTAGACCCTAGAATAATAGAAATCAGTATGGGCTGGTGAACAAGATAAACTAAACGTGAATTAGGGACTGAGTGATTGGATAATAGTCGGCATCATGAGAATTTCAGATTTTGTTCCGGCGATAATAGAATGGACAACAAGAGAAGATTCATGATAAATTCAGAGAATGGTCATTCAGGAAGACGCTTCCCTAAAGCAAGCAATGTGAGCAAAGTTAAGCTTAAGGGACTGTATGTTCCAGTTATACTAAGTGTCACCCTCGTGAGTAAGAAATTTCGTTATCCTTGGTACATAAGGATTACCGCAAAGCGAGTAAAGATCATTGATGTTGTGAAAAGACGCCAAAAAGGAAGAGGTAAAACATCTATAGGTAGATCGTCGTAGCACTAAATCTTAGTTACTCCCCTAAAGGGGGGAATATGGAGTGATGTGGCATTAAGTCAGAATTAAGTGGTTATAGTAATTATGGAATGGTAAAGGAAGAATGCAATAAAAATGAGAAAGGGATGAGATTGCACTTATTCAAATCCTATAGATATGCTATGATTCCAGAACATTATGCAAATACGACGTCAAGGAAAGGAAGTAAGGGTTACTGCCTGAAATGTTATTGATAAATAAAGAGCCAGTGCAAAAGGTAAGTTAAGACAAAGAAAATAACCCAAGAAAGATTACGCGGAACATTGATATGAAAATGGGCCAACGAGTAGTTGATAGTTGATTCAGGAAGAGCCTAGTTATGGCTAGACAGGAGTTTACAGACGAGTCAGCAGATCGTGCAAGATTGTAACACCCCAAATTTTTACTAATATTTATATTTTCGATTGAGCATCTTTATAATGAGGAGATATTTTTACTTCGCACTTCTTAAACGTGAAATTTAAAATACATAAAAATTCCTTACTCTAGGTTGTGTTAATATTGACAAAGAAGTTTCATGGTGTTGCTATGTGTAAAACTTAATATTATTTTGATGAATTATTGTTAAATACATTATAATTAAGTTTTTGGGCTGCCACCCTTTTGTATTTATCTAAGGATATTTAATAGTTGGGCAGCCATTTTTATTTCATATTTATCCAAATGTTTTAAAGATAACTTTGGTTGACTTAGTCTTTCATAAACTCCCCATTTTCATTCTTTCAAGAAAACAAAAACCCCTAACCTCTATCCTTCTTATCTCCTTAAAACTTCATGAAAACCACCATAAATTTCCACTAAACCAACCAGCAAAATTTGTTCTTGGTGAAGCTCAAGTTGCTCCTCTCTTTTGTGGTAAGTTACGTTTTTACACTAGACATCTATTAGTGTTTTATCCATATCGTTTTGTATAAAGCTCCATTTTAAGTGATCTAAGACATTATGAAAATCTATTCCATAGATCTATAACTCTTATGAAGGAACCAAAACCTTGTTTGTCTTTTATTTACCCGAAAATAGGTGATGAAGTACAAGCAGGTACTGCCCAGATTTTCTGTTTTACAAACCCTCCCTGTACTACTGTTAGTAAGTTTAGCATAACTTTTAGTAAAAAATTGATATGGGGGTGATTCAAGATGTTCTGAAATTCTAATATACATATCTACAACTGTAAAGAAGACCACACAGTCTAGTTTGTCCTTTTTTATCTTCAAATCTGAGTCAAAACACGAGATAGTGATACTGTCCAGAATTTCTGTTTCAAACATTTTGGGTAATTTTCACCAATATCATGTTTAGTTTGACATGTTAAATTACTTAACTTATATAGATATTTTATTATGTATTTAAGGTATATATATTCTTGTAAAAGCTAAGGGGAAGTGTTTGAGGAAGTGGACGAATTTGGTTTGTCTAGGGCGTAGACGATTCAAACGTCCTCAAGTTGTGGTTGAATTATTTTGTGGCAAAACATCAAGGTTTGTGTACAAACTTAGTAATCTTCTTACTTGCTGAAATATTTTAAAATAACCTGATATTTTGTTGTTCTTGTCTTCAATTAATAGCATTGCATTCGTGTTATATCAAGTATTGCAAGATATTTACTAAATCTCCCACTCGTACGGATTGTTTGATCATTTTACATTCTTGTTGGGACTTTGTCCTTCTTGTGGCAGTGACTTTGTCACTCATCTTGGCATGCCTCTTGATTTGGATCTTTTGCCATCTTGACTTTGGATTTGTAGTTCGTCTTAAATTATGGAACTTATCCGTGTTAAGTATGAACTAGGAAGCCATTTTTAATATGGTTCTTGATTCTCTTGACTATTGGGTTCTGACCCTACTTGATTTGGGGCTTCGGTCCATCTTGATATCTGATTATGCTTAGTGTGATGGCATGACATACATATTAGGCGAAAAATGGATATTTGACAAGCTTTCTTGGATTGATAGTATACGCTTTCTCAACTCTTGAATCTTGAACATTGTTATTGATATTTGGAAACACTTTAAGGGTTGATATTTGATACTTTTGATATATTTGTTCTCTTGTTTTAAATTATATTTCATTTGAGCTACCTATGACTGAAAATGGTAATTGGAGAAGTTAATGGCTCCAAGCCCAAAGTTTATACGCCACTAAGCTTTATGCTTAGCGATAGTTATTTTCTATCGTAGTTAATGTACGGGATACAATTTGAAGACGGCCTTATGAAGTAGTCTTTTTGGGAGCACTTATGGAGATCACATTTGTATATGCACCATGGTTTTGTATAGTTTTGGGACTTGTACATGATATATATGTCACACTTATATATGTTATTTGGAGGCTTGGATATTAAGACCAAAATCTTATAACTTGAATTTGGTAACTTATTTTGATGTTTTAAGGTGTGTTAATAACTCAAGTCTTGTAATATGTTAAATTTACACTTTGCCTTATATATATGTACAAAGGAGAAAACTAGTTTTCCTTTTTATACCCGATAGTTTAAAATTTATGTATAATACAAACTTGCAGTGATGTCGAATAAAAGTATAATTTTGTTAGGAAGTTTGCTTTAATGTGTTGATTATTCAAGAAGGGTTATATCACCTTATGTTGAAATTTTGACATTTTATTTCATATTAAAAAATAAAACAAAAATTATGAATAGTATTTTCGAAAATAAAAATATTACACTTTGGACCTTATCGCATGGGCCTATTTCCGCTACTAAATTATTCTGAATATATTTTTTAATTAATATCTTCTTAATGTTGTAAGTAGTAAATTAGATTTGTTTCGTAAGTAGCACCCTTCCAAAGGGGTTGCTACAAGTTTTGGTATCAGAGCCTAGGTTTGTGATTCTAGGATTTTTGTTATGATCGTACCTAATATTTTTTTTATTTTCTTTCTTGAAAATGACTTGGAGATTATAAATTTTTGCATACTTGTTTAATGTAATTTGATGTATTACTTGTGCATATGCATCATGTACATGTCCCTAATGCAGTGTGATAATTTTAATATGGCCTCTTCTTCGAATAGAGTTATTGAATCCGTTGATGAAAGTTAGGACCATTATAATACTCCGCCTCACCTCCAAGAAGGAGATGGGGTACCTTTTCCTAACCTAAATCATCATCGTGTTAGTGAAAAGGAAGTGGGCAATAATCCAAGAGCAATGGGTTATAGTACTCCTATTATGACTCATCCATTTCAGCAGATGGCTGAGTTCTTTCGTCACTTGGCTGGGACAATGTCAGAACCTAGTGAAATAAATTTTGAGAAGATGAGGAAAATGGGTGGAGTTGAATTTGAAGGCACTACTGATCCCACGGTAGCTGAACAATGGATCGAGCGCATGCAGAGGGTTTTTGAACAACTTGAGTGTACTAATGCTGCCAAATTTAAGTATGCTATCTCTCTTTTACAAAAATATGCCTATGATTGGTGGGTAAGTGTGCCAAATGAAAAAGAAAAACCTCCGGTGCTGACTTGGGATGACTTTGGGAAAGCATTTCGTGCGAAATATGTCCCCCATGTCTACTGTGATGCAAAGAAAAAAGAGTTTCTGAATTTAAGACAAGGGAGTATGTCTATTGCAGAGTATCAACAAAAATTTCTCAGGCTTTCTCGCTATGCTGGAGGTATTATTGATGGTGAAAGAGACAAGTGCAGAAGATTTGAAGAGGGTTTGAATGGTTACATTCGAAAATCTGTGGCAATCTTGTAACTTGAGGATTTTTCCAAGCCAATTTCAGTTGCTCTTACTTGGGAAAGAATTGACAAGGAAGAAGGTACTAGGAGAGAAAATAGGTTTAGGAAGGGTAATTCAGATTATGGCGGTCCATCCAAGAAGGGAAAGTTTGACTATTCCAAGACTGAAAGTGCACAGAAGTCATCATATCATAAGCAGAATAAGCCAAATTTCTCTACTGCTAGTACTCTGAGTTATGGCCAAGGCAAAACTTATACACCTACTTGTGCACAGCACAGTGTGGAAAGAATCACTATGGTGCCTGCAAAAGAGCTTCTGGTGCTTGTTTTATTTGTGGAATTATGGATCATAAAATGAAGGATTGTCCTAATCCTAATCCTCTTTCTTATACACATACAGAGGGCTCAGTTCAAAAGCCTATCACTACTCATTCTCAAGCTAATAGCGGTGCAAAACCTAGAAATATGCAAGCGGCGGGTTCGGGTAGAGCTAATCAGGCTAGCGGGTCGAGATCTACTGCACGAGTATATGCTATGAGACAGAAGAATTACCAAGATGGCCTAGACGTGGTTGTTGGTAAATTTCACTTATTTGGCATATATGTTGTTACATTATTTGATCATGGATCTTCGCACTCTTATGTTTGCTCATTATTTGCATTCCTGATACTGTTAAATCTGTGAGACTTGACTTTGATGTGCTAGTCACGAGTCCATTAGGTCACCAGGTTGTTGTTAACAGGATTTACCGAGATTGTCCATTCATGATTCAAAATCTGGTCTTCCCTGCAGACTTGCTTGAAATGCCCTTCCAAGACTATGATTTTATTGTTGGTATGGATTGTCTCCATAGGCACCATGCATTGGTTGATTGTAGGTTGAAGCAAGTGACTTTTAGAACTCCTGCATACTCACACATAATAGTTCAAGGAGAAAGATCATTGACGGCTAGTATTATTTATGCGGTCTTGTCAAGGAAGATGATTTGTCAAGGTTGTGATACCTATCTTGCTCATATAGTCGATACACAATTGGGGAGTCCAAGTGTTAAGGACATACCAACCGTGTGCTACTTTCCTTCTGTATTTCCTGATGATCTTCCTGGGTTTCCTCCAGAAAGGGAGATTGAATTTCCTATAGAGCTTGTCCCTGGAACTACTCATATTTCTATCGCTCCTTATAGAATGGCTCCAGCTGAATTAAAAGAGTTGAAGGCTCAATTGCAAGAATTTCTTGAGAAAGGTTTTATATGTCCCAGTATTTCGCCTTGGGGAGCTCCTGTTTTATTTGTGAAAATGAAAGATGGCACTTTTAGGCTTTGAATTGATTACCGACAGCTGAACAAGGTAACAATCAAGAACAAATACCCATTGCCTAGAATCGATGACTTGTTTGACCAACTGAATGGGTGCCAGCTTGTTCTCAAATATTGACTTGAGGTTTGGATATTATCAGTTGCGCGTGAGGGAGAAAGATGTTCCTAAAACTGCTTTTAGGACTAGGTATGGCCATTATGAATTTTTGGTAATGCCATTTGGTTTGACAAATGCTCCTGCTGCATTTATGGATCTAATGAACCGTGTATTCAAGCCTTATGTTGATCAATTTGTGGTGGTGTTTATTGATGACATTTTAGTCTATTCCAAGAATAGAGAAGATCATGATAAGCATCTCCGGATTGTCATGCAAATTCTGAAAGAAAGGCAACTCTACGCGAAGCTTTCCAAATGTGAATTTTGGCTGAGTGAAGTGGCATTTTTGGGGAATATTGTATCAGCTGAAGGTGTGAAGGTTGATCCTAGTAAGATTCAACCTATTATTGATTGGAAATCTCCTAAAACTCTAACTGAGATCAGAAGTTTCTTGGGTTTAGCAGGATACTATAGGAAGTTCGTGAAGGGCTTCTCTATTATAGCTTCTCCTTTGACCAAACTTTTAGGGAAAGACGCCAAATTTGTGTGGGATGACAAATGTAAAGAGAGCTTTGAAAAGCTCAAATCCTTGTTGATACAAGCTCCAATACTTTCTTTGCCAGTTGAAGGGAAAGATTATGTGGTATACAGTGATGCATCTCACCGTGGCTTGGGTCTCACCGTAGCTTGGGTCTCTCCGTGGCTTGGGTTGTGTTTTGATGCAAGAAGGGAAAGTAATTGATTATGCCTCTCAAAAGTTGAAATCGCATGAGTTGAATTATCCCACTCACGATCTTGAACTTGCTGCCATTTGTTTTGCCTTAAAAATTTGAAGGCGTTACTTGTACGTGGAGAAATGTCACATATTTACTGACCACAAGAGTTTGAAGTACTTGGGTACACAAAAAGAGTTAAACTTGAGACAGCGTAGATGGCTTGAACTCATCAAAAATTATGATTGCATGATTAATTATCATCCTGGTAAAGCTAATGTGGTTGCAGATGCGTTGAGTCGCAATTCCCTTGCAAGTTTAACTCTAAGTCCTATGCCCTTGCTTCTTGAATTAAGAGCCATGAATGTTTGTCTTTCATTTAATTCTAATGTATCTATCATTGCTAATTTTCAAGTCAAGCCAGTCTTACTTGAGCAGGTCCAAGAAGCGCAGAAGTTAGATGAGAAGCTTGTGAAACGGGTTGAAGAAGTCCAAAATGGAAGAGAATCAGATTTTACATTGAAGAAAGATGATACCTTATTTTATAAAAATAGGTTGTGTGTTCTTAATGATGATGAATTGAGGAAGAAGATCTTGATTAAAGCACATAGTTCACCTTATGCAATGCACCCTGGAGGTACTAAAATGCACCGGACCATCAAGGAGCACTACTGGTGGATTGGTATGAAGAAAGACATTGCAGAGTTCATTTCTAAATGCTTGGTATGTCAACAAATAAAAGCTAAACATCAAGTCCCAGCTGGTCTACTGCAACCCTTGTCAATACCTGAGTGGAAATAGGAAAGGATAATAATGGACTTTGTTTCTGGACTTCCACGCACACAAAGGAATCATGATGCAATTTGGGTCATTGTAGATAGACTAACTAAGAGTGCTCATTTCTTGGCAATCAGAATGGACTACTCACTGGAACGTTTGGCAGAATTATACATTAATGAGATTGCGAAGCTGCATGGAATCCCTGTTTCTATTGTTTCTGATAGAGATCCAAGATTTACATCCAGATTTTGGTCTAGCTTGGAAGAAGCTTTGGGTTCTAGGTTGAGTTTTAGTACCGCTTTCCATCCACAAACAGATGGCCAGTCTGAGAGGGTAATACAAATCTTGGAGGATATGCTTCGAGCCTGCATTATTAAGTTTGGGGGTAGTTGAGACAAACACTTAGCCCTGATAGAATATTCTTACAATAATAGCTACCAATCAAGTATATGCATGCCTCCTTATGAAGCTTTGTATGGAAAAAAATGCAGAACGCCTCTTTGTTGAAACGAGGTTGGTGAAAGAAAATTGGCAGGTCCTGAGATTGTTCAACAAACTGAAGATAAGGTCAAAATCATCAAGGATCGCTTAAAAATTACCTCAGACAGACAAAAGTCTTATGTTGATCTTAAGAGGCGTGAAATTGAGTATAAAGCGAGTGATAAGGTATTTTTAAAGGTTTCTTCATGGAAGAAGATTATGAGATTTGACCAAAAAGGTAAACTTAGTCCACGATTTATTGGACCTTATGAAGTGCTTGAGAGAGTTGGCCCAGTTGCTTATAAACTAGCTCTTCCACCAGAGTTAGACAAGATTCACAACGTCTTCCATGTTTCTATGCTTAGAAGACACCGCTCAGATCCATCTCATGTTCTTCCTATTGAATCTATTGAGGTCAATCCTGATTTGATATATGGAGAAGAACCAATCCAAATCTTAACGCGTGAGTTAAAGGAGCTTACAAACAAGAGCATTCCCTTAGTGAAAGTTCTTTGAAAAAATCATTCTGGCGAAGAAGCTACCTGGGAGCGAGAAGAGGATATGCGAGTTCAATATCCACATTTGTTTAGGGACTAGTACCAGGTAAAGTTCAGGACGAAATTTATTTAAGGGGGAGAGAGTTGTAACACCCCAAATGTTTACTAATATTTGTATTTTCGATTGAGCATCTTTATAATGAGGAGATATTTTTACTTCGCACTTCCTAAACGTGAAATTTATAATACATGAAAATTCCTTACTCTAGGTTGTGTTAATATTTATAAAGAAGTTCCATGGTGTTGCTATGTATAACACTTAATATTATTTTGATAAATTATTGTTAAATATATTATAATTAAGTTTTTGGGCTGCCACCCTTTTGTATTTATCTAAGGATATTTAGTAATTGAGCGGCCATTTTTATTTCATATTTATCCAAATGTTTTAAAGATAACTTTGGTTGACTTAGTCATCCATAAACTCCCCATTTTCATTCTTTCAAGAAAACAAAAACCCCTACCCTCTATCCTTCTTATCTCCTTAAAACTTCATGAAAACCACCATAAATTTCCACTAAACCAACCAGCAAAATTCGTTCTTGGTGAAGCTCAAGTTGCTCCTCTCTTTTGTGGTAAGTTACGTTTTTACACTAGACATCTATTAGTGTTTTATCCATATCGTTTTGTATAAAGCTCCATTTTAAGTGATCTAAGACATTATGAAAATCTATTCCATAGATCTATAACTCTTATGAAGGAACCAAAACCTTGTTTGTCTTTTATTTACCCGAAAATAGGTGATGAAGTACAAGCAGGTACTGCCCAGATTTTCTGTTTTACAAACCCTCCCTGTACTACTGTTAGTAAGTTTAGCATAACTTTTAGTAAAAAATTGATATGGGGGTGATTCAAGATGTTCTGAAATTCTAATATACATATCTACAACTGTAAAGAAGACCACACAGTCTAGTTTGTCCTTTTTTATCTTCAAATCTGAGTCAAAACACGAGATAGTGATACTGTCCAGAATTTCTGTTTCAAACATTTTGGGTAATTTTCACCAATATCATGTTTAGTTTGACATGTTAAATTACTTAACTTATATAGATATTTTATTATGTATTTAAGGTATATATATTCTTGTAAAAGCTAAGGGGAAGTGTTTGAGGAAGTGGACGAATTTGGTTTGTCTAGGGCGTAGACGATTCGAACGTTCTCAAGTTGTGGTTGAACTATTTTGTGGTAAAACACCAAGGTTTGTGTACAAACTTAGTAATCTTTTTACTTGCTGGAATAGTTTAAAATAACCTGATATTTCGTTGTTCTTGTCTTCAATTAATAGCATTGTATTTATATTATATCAAGTATTATAAGATATTTACTAAATCTCCTACTCGTACGGATTGTTTGATCATTTTGCATTCTTGTTGGGACTTTGTCCTTCTTGTGGCAGTGACTTTGTCACTCATCTTGGCATGCCTCTTGATTTGGATCTTTTGCTATCTTGACTTTGGATTTGTAGTTCATCTTAAATTATAGAACTTTTCTGTGTTAAGTATGAACTAGGAAGCCATTTTTAATATGGTTCTTGATTTTTTTGGCTATTGGGTTTTGACCCTACTTGATTTGGGGTTTCGGTCCATCTTGATATCTGATTATGCTTAGTGTGATGGCATGACGTACATATTGGGCGAAAAATGGATATTTGACAAGCTTTCTTGGATTGATAGTATACGCTTTCTCAACTCTTGAATCTTGAACATTGTTATTGATATTTGAAAACACTTTAAGGGTTGATATTTGATACTTTTGATATATTTATTCGCTTGTTTTAAATTATGTTTCATTTGAGCTACCTATGATTGAAAATGGGAATTGGAAAAGTTAATGGCTCCAAGCCCAAAGTTTATATGCCACTAAGCTTTATGCTTAGCGATAGTTATTTTCTACCGTAGGTAATGTACGAGATGAAATTTGAAGACGGCCTTATGAAGTAGTCTTTTTGGGAGCACTTATGGAGATTACATTTGCATATACACCATGGTTTTGTATAGTTTTGGGACTTGTACATGATATATATGTCACACTTATGTATGTTATTTGGAGGCTTGGATATTAAGACCAAAATTTTGTAACTTGAATTTGTTTACTTATTTTGTTATTTTAAGGTGTGTTAATAACTCAAGTCTTGTAATATGTTAAATTTACACTTTGTCTTATATATATATATATATATATAAAGGAAAAAACTACTTTTCCTTTTTATACCTGATAGTTTAAAATTTATGTACAATACAAACTTGCAGTGATGTCGAATGAAATTATAATTTTGTTAGGAAGTTGCTTTAATATGTTGATTATTCAAGAAGGGTTATATCACCTTATGTTTAAATTTTGAAATTGTATTTTATTTTAAAAAATAAAATAAAAATTATGA